GGATGGCCCTGCCAGCTCCCAGCTCCCCTTTGTGACTCCCCTGTCCCTGTGCCCAGGATTTGCTGTTGGTCCCTGGCATTCTGTGCCCAGGCTGTGCCCAGGCTGTGCCCACGGCCTGGGGGCTCTGGGCTCACCCAGGGGCATCCCTGGCCCAGCAGGATGGGCACAGGAAGGGCAGTACGTGATTTATTTCATTTATTTTTGCAGTGTTTTTAAGCATTAGGTGCCAGGATGGGCACAAGGGGTGCTGAACATTATTTTTGCAGTGTTTTTAAGGGGCTGTTTGCTCTCAGTTCATGCCAGGAGGGATTTTTAGGAGGTGTTTTTGAGGTCCAGGTGTGAGGAGGGAGCTGTGCTGTGTTGGTGTTCTCAGGGGTCCCAGGATGAGGGGAGAGATGAGGATCTGACTCCATGTTTCAGAAGCCTGATTTATTATTTTATAATTTATATTTTAGTATCTATTATATATCCATATATTAAATATTTTTATATTTATATAAATATATAATAAAATATAAAGATATAAAATAACAAATAATTTTCTTTTAATATAATATATATAATAAATATAATATTATATATTATATTTATTATATATATTATATTAAAATAAAATGATCTATTAAAACGATACTAAAAGAATAGAAGAAAGGATTTCATCAGAAGGCTTGAAAGGAGTAGAAAGGAATGATAATAAAATCTTGTGACTGACCAGAGTCTGATACAGCTGACTGTGATTGGCCATTAATTAGAAACAACCACATGAGACCAATCAAAGCTGCGCCTGTTGCATTCCACAGCAGCAGGTAATTATTGTTTTTCTTGTCCTCTGAGGCTTCTCAGCTCCTCAGGAGAAAAATATCCTGGCAAAAGGGATTGTTCAGAAAATATCCTGGTGGCACTGTGGCACCTGTGCTTTGCCATGTGTGTTGGATGGGGAGGTTAACACAGCTCTGGGATTTTAAATCATCAATATAAATGATAACCCTAAAATGATAACCCTAACCCTAAACTTACTCCATGAATATTAACAAAACTACAACAGGATGACACAACTTTATTTAACATCCCCTTTGCAGTTGGTGGCCACCCAAAGATTATGGGTGGTGATTTGCATTTTGTTTTGTTCTGTGCAGGGTTTTGGTGATTTCTTTTTGTATCTTTGAGCAGAGCTGGCCTGGGGAAGCTGGGGCTGCCTGCAGCTGCCCGGGCTGCCCTGGGGCCCAAATTCATGGATTTTTGGGGTGGTTTGAAACTCTATTTGCAGTTTTTTGGGGTGGTTTGAGCCTCTGTTTGCAGCCTGAGTGAGCCTGGGCTGGACAAGCTCTGGTCCCTGCTCTGGTGGCCGAGCTGGGAGTTCTCCCGAGCTCTGAGAGGTGACAAATGTGTCCCCTGAGCAGGTGGGGTGTCCCCTGAGCAGGTGGGGTGTCCCCTGAGCAGGTGAGGCATCACCACCAGTCTGGGTTGGGTTTTCCCTCCCTAGAGCAGCAGAAAAAGGAGGNGGACTGTTCCTGGTGCTGCTCTGGACCCTGTTGAGGCCCAGGGCTGAACAGAATTATAAATATATATAATGGGGAGGTGAAATTCTACCCTGTTCTGTAGGACTGTTCCTCATGCTGCTCTGGACTCTGTTCAGGCCCAGAATTATAAAAAAATAAATATAGGGAGGTGAATTGGGGCCTTCTCTGTGGGACTGTTCCTGGTGCTGCTCTGGAGTCTGTTTAGGCCCAGAATTATTAAAAAAATATATATGGGGAGGTGAATTTTGTCCTGTTCAGTAGGACTGTTCCTCATGCTGCTCTGGACTCTGTTTAGGCCCAGAATTATAAAAATATAAATATGGGGAGGTGAATTTTGTCCTGTTCTGTGGGATTGTGCCTCACGTTGCTCTGGACTCCGCTCAGGCCCAGGAGCAGGCCCGGCCTGTGGCAGCGCCCTCAGCTCCTGGGGCTCCTCCTCTCAGGGCAAATTTCAAAGGCAAAAAACTTCCAGAGTGTCTCCCCCTTGATTTTGGCAAGGATTTGCTTTTTCTGAGCTGGTATTTTTTTGTTTTTTCTTGATGTTTTCCCTAGTTTTGAGAGTTTTCCTCTGCTTCTCCCACCAGTTTTCCTGTAGCTGGTCCCGGCTGGTTTCAGTGCTGGTGGGAAGGAGCTGCTGAGATGTTTGGGGTGGCAGAGCAGTGCCAGGGCTCTCTGGGTGTTCCCAGGGCTGGGGAGGTGCCAGGGTCACCCTCTGAGCCCCCTCTGTGCCTGCAGGGCTGCTCTGGAGGCAGATAACCCGGCCCTGGCACTGCCCACAGCCAGCACAGGCCCATTTCCTGGAGAGGGCACAAAAACCCTCCCAAACTGCCGAGACCGCGTGGGAGAGGAGGCAAAAATCAAAGTTTATCCTTTGCCTCAGGTGTGTGGGAGCAGCTGCCAGGAGGGGCAGCTCAGGAGGCTCCGAGAGCTGGTTGGGAGCTGCTCCTCCCTGAGCAGGAGATCCCAAACCCCTCCTGGGCTGTGTCACCTCATCCTGATCTTTGTCCTGCCCTGCAGCACCAGGAGCTCCCAAACTTCCCTCTGGGCTTTGCCACCTCATCCTGGTCTTTGTCCTGCTCTGCTGCCCTCCTGGCACCACCACGAGATCCCAAACTTCCCTCTGGGCTTTGCCACCTCTTTTTGCTGCCCTGCTGTCCCCCTGGAGATCCCAAACCCCTCCCTGGGCTTGGCCGCCTTGTGCTGAGCTTTTTCCTGCCTTGTTGCTCCCCTGGCAGCACCAGGAGATCCCAAATCCTCTCTGGGCTGTGCCACCCTGTACTGAGCCTTGTCCTGCTCTGCCCTGCAGGACCAGGAGGTCCCAACCCCTCCCTGGGCTCTGCCACCCTGTCCTGAGATTTTTCCTGCCCTGCTGCCCCTTTTGTCCTGCCAGGAGATCCCAAACCCTCCCTGGGCTGTGCCAACTCTTTTTCCTGCCCTGCTGCCCCCCTGGCAGCCTTTAGAACCCTCTGGTTTCCAGGCTGTGCCCTCTGCTCTCTGCCCAGGAGCCCTGAGCCAACCCTGGGCCAGGAGCAGCTCTCCAGGCTGGGCTGGATGAAGGAAAAAAACTGAATTTGCCAAAGAGCAGAGGGGAGGGAGGACGAGGGAGCTGCAGCTCGGTGTGGGGCAGGAGGGGATGGGGAACGTCAGGAAATGTGGCAGAGTTGGGGTGGGTGGATGGATGGAGATGGATGTGCTGGGCTGAGCTGCTGCAGTTCATGATCTCCCTGTGCCCCAGCCGGGTCACAGTGCCAGGCAGAGCCGATAACTCAGGCAGAGATGTTTGCCCTGCCCTGCTCTCCTGCTTGTCTCCTTCCCCAGGGTGGAACTGTCCTGCAGCCAGGCTGGGTGTGGGCCCAGGCCCTGGCAGTGCCCCCAGGAGGGGCTGGGGCTGTGTGCCAGCTGTGCCAGGGGTGTGGGAGGGATCCCCAGCTGGGGAAACTCTGCTGGGAAAGGGAGCTGAGCCCTGCCAGGGTTCCCTGGCTCCATCCTCAGCCTGGATCCCCATCCCCTGGCACTGCCAGGCTGCCCTGGCTCCATCCTCAGCCTGGATCCCCATCCCCTGGCACTGGGATGGCACTGCCAGGCTGTCCTGGGTGTCCTGGCTCCATCCTCAGCCTGGATNCATCTTCTCCCGATGGCTGCTTCGGTGCCCGGCAATCGAACTGGAGTGGATGTTTTACCCCAGCGCCCGGCGCTGACCCCGTGCCTCGCTTGTGGGCTCTTACAGGCAATAGCTTGCTTGATGGACATGAACGCCTTGCTGGACAGATTCCACAATTACATCCTACCGCACCTCCGAGGGGAGGACCGAGTTTGTCACTGCAACTGTGGAAGGTGAGTTCTGCCTGCAGAGCATCCCCCGTGCCCGCCCTGCCCACCTGGGGACGAGGTGTCAGGGACACGGAGACGGCTATGCCACCATTTCTGCATCCTGGCCGTGCCTCACCTTCCCCAGCGGCTCCTGCATGAGCAGGGTGAAGGAGGGGGTGCTGTTTGTTGTTGTCTTTAAAATTTGTTTTGGTTTTTTATTTTCTGGAAGAAGAGTTTTCCGTGGGCTCTGAGTGCGTTTTCCTTTGTGCACAGGCATTTGGGAGCCCTGGGGGAGTGAGAAACTTCGATTTAAGCGTTTGTCATTGTGGCTTTTGTGGTTCCCCAGCCTGTTTTGTGGTCTGGGTGTTGCAGTTGGTGCTGGCTTTGTGGCTCAGAAATGGAATGGAGAAATGAGAGGATCCCTGTCCAGGCCGGGATGTGGCCGCCTAGGACAGTCACTTGGTGGCTTTGCAATCAATCTTTGGTCAGATTTTCATCCCCTGTGGCTTTTCCTGCTGGACACAGCACGCTGAGGAGGCCGGGCTGTGCTTCAGGAGTGCTGCCTCTGCTGTGCACAACTTTATGTCTGGACAAACACCTTCCTCATCCTCCCAAAGAGCATCTCGGGGCCTTATCCATCCCTGGAGTGCTCGGCTGGGAACTGGGATCTGCCTGCTCCGAGGCTGCTCAGGCCCAGAATTATAGCGCTGAACTGAATTATAAAAATATAAATACTGGGGAGGTGAATTTTGTCCTTCTCTCTGGGACTGCTCCTGGTGCTGCTCTGGACTCTGCTCAGGCCCAGAATTATA